CTCCTAGGTCACATGACTCAAATAGTAGCATATTTAACTCTGATAGCCAAGTATCAGGTCTTAAAGACAAGTGTGTAGCATCAGCCAGGTAGTGTGGTGACTAAGATAGCTGGATCCCACATGGTTGAGTATGTGGTTTGAATCTCAGCTTGGACTGGACTTATATGTGGTGTAGCCATCCCCCCTGGGGGGGGAGGTGATTTCTCATTTTCTCTCTCTATCTGCATCCCACAAGGACAGGTGCCCTCTAGTAAAAACTTTAAATAAATAAATAAATAAAGACAAGTGGTTAAAAGATAAATATTCAGGGCTACCACAGGTGGCATGACAGTTAAGGGTGCTAGACTGCCACATGACTGAACAGGGTTAGAGTCCCAGACCTGGCAGCTTGCTTTCTCTCTTTCTCTCTCTCCCTCTCTGGTAAAATTGAGATAAATAAATAAGTAAATGGATAAATTAAATTAAATTAAATAATTCTTTATAAAAAAAGATAAATATTCAACTCTCTTAATTCTTTTTTTTTTTTTTGGAGAGATTTTCACTGTAGGGCACGTGCGCTCGCCAGACAGACAGAGAGAGACATAGAGACAGAAAGCGAGAAATCACCCCCCAGGGGGGATGGTCACGCCGCAATCCCTTCTCCTCCATTCTCCTCTCGGGATCTTGGGCACGCACACACACGCGCCCGGCGTGAGTTTTAAGCCACCGGGTCCGGGACACGAACCGCGGTCGACTACATGGGAGTCCAGCGACATAGCCATTACGCTAACTGCTGGTTCCCCAACTCTCTTAATTCTGAACAATAAAAATATTTAAAATTGTTGAACTAAGAGAATCAGGCTGTCTACCAAATTGGTATGAACACTTTCTTTTCAAAGTTAAGTAGTATGCATTCCCTGTTCACTTATTAAATATTTAATACTAGGGGATGCTGGCAGGTGGTGTGGTGGTTTAAGGGCGCTGGACTCCCACATGGCCGACCATGGTTCAAGTCCCAGACCTGACAACTTGCTTTCTCTCTCTCTCTCTCTCTCTCTCTCTTTCCACCCTTCCCCCCAGTCAAATTTTAAAAAATAAATAAATGGATAAATAAAGTTAAATAAAATAATTCTTTTTAAAAATTTTTTAACAAAAAAATAAAAACATTTTTAATAAAAAAAAATGTAATACTGGGGACCAGCAGGTGGCACTGTGGTTAAAGCACTGGATTCTCACGTGGCTGTCCAAGGTTAGAGTCCCAGACATGGCGATTTAAGAAACTCACAGGGGGGAACCAGCAGTTAGCGTAATGGCTATGTCGCTGGACTCCCACGTAGTCGACTGCGGTTTGCATCCCGGACTCCATGCTTAAAACTCACGCCGGGCACGTGTGCGTGCGTGCCCAAGATCCAGAAAGGAGAATGGAGGAGAAGGGATTGCGGCGTGACCATCCCCCCTGGGGGGTGATTTCTCGCTTTCTGTCTCTATGTCTCTGTCTGTCTGTCTGGTGAGCGCACGCGCCCTATAGCGAAGACCTCTCCAAAAAAAAAGAAAGAAACTCACAGGGTATGTGTCCACCTGTGCCCAAAACTCTGAGAGGAGAATGAAAGAGAAGGGATTCTACCATGGTCATCCCTGGGGGAAGGGGGAATTTCTCACTTTCCCTCTCCGGTGAGTGCATGCACCCTATGGTAAAAACCTGAAAAAAAATTAATACTGGTTCATTGGTAAATCTTTTAATTAAGTAATGTACAATTAAAAACCACAAGATTACACTGGAAATAATTTACTTTTAGAATCTTAAAAACTAAACCCATTCACAAATATAACATTTTTTTCTAAAACCACATGGCAAGGCTGAAGATAAAATGCACCATCCTTGTTTTTTAGAGAAAGATTTTTGCTATAGGGAGCATGCACAAGCCAGGGAGGCAGAGAGACAGAAAGCAAGAAATCACTCACCAGGGGAAAAGGCCAAGCTGCAGTTTCTTCTCCTCCATTCTCCTGTTGGGATTTTGGACACAGCATGCCCAGTACAAGTTTAAGCCGCCAGGTCTGTGACTCAAACCATGGTCGACTATATGAGAGTCCAGCGACATAACCATTACGCCATCTGCTGGTCCCAAAATGCACCATCTTTTCCTATCTAGCTAATATTGAATACATAGTAGATACTAAAAGCCATAATAAAAATTCAAATATATTTCAAATCCTAATGGAGAAAAAACAACTATATATTTTTTAAATAATTATTTTACTTAATTTTATTAATTAATTTATTTATTTAAATTTGACCAGAGAGGGACAGAGTGAGAGAAAGAGAGAGAGGTGAAGAAAGAGAGAGAAGAAGAAAGTGAGAAAGCAAGCTGCCAGGTCCAGGACTCAAACCGCAGTCAGCCATTTGGGAGTCCAGCATCCTTAACCACTATGCCACTGCCTCCGAAATGGATAGCTTGAAAGAAAGGGGGAAGAAAAGCTACTGCTAATTTACTTGCAAGGAATTTAAGAAAGGAATAAACCTGTTTACTTTCTTTTCTTCCTCTCTTCAAAAAGAATATGAAAACTACCCCATCATTCAAATAACATCAAAGTTTTGGGACCAGCAGATGATGTAATGGTTCCGTTGCTGGATCCGACCATGGTTTGAGTCCTGGACCTGGTGGCTTGAAATTCACACCAGGTGCATGTGTGTGCATGCCCAAATTCCCAAGAGAAGAAAGGGTTGCAGCATGACCATCCCCCCAGAGAGTGATTTCTCACTTCTGTCTGGCTTTCTCTCTCTGTCTCTCCAGCAGCCACACATGCCCTATAGCAAAAATCTCTCTTAAAAAAATAAATAACATCTAAGTTTAAAAGTATGGCTTCCAGAGGCCAGCATGTGGCATAGTGGTTAAGGCACTGAACTCGCATAGGGCCGACTGTGGTTTGAGTCCTAGATCTGGCAGCTTGCTTTCTCACTCTTGCTCCCACCCCTCTCTGAGCACAATAAATAATAATAATAAATTTTAAAAATTTTAAAGATGGCTTCCCATGGCTTTTCTAAAAACCTACTTTTTCCAAAATATGTACTTGTTTTTTCCCTTACAGTAGAATTTGTTCAATCTAAACAAGCCCTGTGAGATTATCCACTTTACTGCAAAGACCACAACAAGCTTAAAAAAATTAATCAGCCAGGGAACCAGCAGTTAGCATAATGGCTATGTTGCTGGACTCCCACGTAGTCGACTGTGGTTCGCATCCCGGACTCCATGCTTAAAACTCACACCGGGCGTGTGTGCGTGCGTGCCCAAGATCCAGAGAGGAGAATGGAGGAGAAGGGATTGCAGCGTGACCATCCCCCCTGGGGGGTGATTTCTCACTTTCTGTCTCTCTGTCTCTCTCTGGCTGGCTGGCAAGCGCACGTGCCCTATAGCGAAAAAAACCTCTCCAAAAAAAAAAAAAAAAATTAATCAGCCAACTTGAGGAAAAAAACCTGTTAGAAGAGAATTAACATCATTTAACAACTAAAAATTATCAGGAATATCTACATCTGGTGAAAGTCAGAATGAGTGAGAGAAACAAGATACTCTTAATGTATATGCCTATTGATAGAATACATTTTGTTTGTTTTTAAAAAGCAGTTAATGCGAAAAATTACAGATTTGGAAAGCTGTAGAAAATTCTCCCCTCTGCCATCTCTCTCCTCTGCCTTCCATTCCTACACACTGTACACAAAGAAAACATAAGCACAAAATGTTAAAAGCACCTGAAAGTCTTCAAATTTCAGGCACTCCAATTCACTAATATATCAGGGGGAAAAAAAATAAATCAAGATCTCACATTGCTGGGGTGGAGATGGAGGGTCAAGATGGTACTAGATTTCTTCCAGGATCACCCCATGTCCTCTCCAAGGGAGAAGTTAGAGAGAGCAGCACAGGCAGACACCATAACCTAAACAGTAAAGCCAGGGAATGGCAGAGGGAGGAGGGACGGATTGAAAATGGAGAACTACTTTTTTTTTTTTACTTAATTTTGTTATTTTAACAACAACAACAAAAAGAAACAGACTCAATGATGGGTATTTCCACCAAATTCTAAGCCTTTAAGGAAGCCAGACCAATCTGAAAATAAAACTGATCATGTAGGAGAAAAAAGACTGAAGACTGAACAAGGGCAAAAGAAAAAAGCGCGGGCGACCAAGCGGCTAGCATAGGAATGGGAAGGAGGCAATAGAGGACCAAATGAGGGAAAGATCCATAAAGAAAACTAGGGCAGCCCCCGAGCTTGGCACCCTCATGCAGGCCAAACACGCCAGCAACAATCGGAGACCTTTTCAGTTCTCTGCCCCAGTCCTCTACTTCCACAGATGAACGAAACTGGGGCGCCTTGCCTGCCCCAATCCCGCCAGCGCTCCAGGAACCCGGCTGTCGGCTCAGCTCCCCCTCGCTCGCACCTCTCGCTAGCCTAAGGCTTGTCCCCTCCCGGGCTTGCAGAAACGCGACTAGGGCCTGCCTTGGCCGCTAAGAAGTTGTGTACGCAAGTCTAGCATCCTTTCGCAGACTTTCTCAGCCCTCCTTTGAGAAGGTGAACGGTTCAGCCCTAATGGGATTTTCCCCGCCCCTCCCCGGGGTTATTCCCCACCCCACCTCGCATTCTTCTTTCTGGAAGTGTGAACGACCTCGCCCCTTGGGGCGTTTGTGACCCGTTCCAATCACATCTTTTTGGTAAAATTAAGTAGACCGCGCCGGCACCAGCGCAGTGCCTTGAGGGATGGAAAGGTGAGGTAAAGGAATAAGGTATTCCAAAGGCCCCACACCCTTGGCATCTCCCGCCATTTCCCTCACGAGTTTCCCGGATGTAACCCCTTCCCCGCGGCGGTTTAGAAACCAGGCGGTGGCGGCTCTCTTTGGAGCAGGAGGAGGGAACTCGAGTGTGGTCCAGCCTTTGCCACCCAGTTTGCAACGACTCCAAATTGCACCCCACCTCCGTAGCCACTGAGGAAAAATAAACTACCCAGCAGATTTCCTTCCCTTAGCACTCACCATCAGTTCCAGCTTATCGACCTCCGCCTCCATGTTGAATAGTTGACATTCCACAGACCTCGGCGGCTCTTAGGCCGCCAGCAGTACTAGCACTGAGGGCGTCTATTGGACAGCTGTCACTCAACGTCTCGTGCTCATTGGCTCCTCTATTTCGCCAGCGCCCGCCCACTGGCGACTGGGTAACGCCCTTCCAAATGAAACATACTTTCCTGTTGGGCAAAGACACAAAACGCCGCGGGAGGATTGGTCCCTGTACCCTTTTTTTTCCTCATTGGCTGCCCTTTTGTCTCTACTTTCAATTTCATAGTTAGAACTCAGCAGATAAGAGCTTCCGATTGGTGAAATAGGAAAAAGAACCACCCAATTACACTAAAGCTTCCACCGACAGCATAGGGAAGGGGACACACCTTCTTTCCTTGACTGTTTCCCCTCCCTTCGCTCCCGCCTTCCTCTTATTCATACCAGAAGCGCCTCAGCTCTGATTGGCTGGAGTGTGGTGCTATCTCAACCAATCACAAGACAGGCTGTGCTCTTACACTACCCCGAAAGAGCGAATCGTGAAGAAAACATGTCTACGATTGGTCCCTCCGTGACAAGGATTTAATTTTGAATTTTTTCTTTACGGCGTGGAGAAACCAGTGTCGCGACTTTATCTAATCCTCAGGCTCTTAGACCAGTAAGTGCAGCGACGATTTTTAAATTACCTGGGCTCGCGTCTTCCGTAACTGTGCCTGTTGCTGCTTGTGTTCTTAGGGCCTAAGGAGGTGGGGACTCTGGCTGGACTTGGGAGAGGAGATGGAGTGGGGATGGGAAGGTTTGGGACAGGGAAAGAAGTGATTGGCCTGACTACATCCTAACCATACTTCTATTTAATTAGCATTGCACAAAATATGTTTTGGGGACAGAGATATGTTTTGCACAATGTTTTACATGTTTGCTACTCAAAGTAGGTCTACAGGCCAGCGGCATCAGTGTTAATTGATGGCTTGATACAAATGCAAACGATCGACTCCACCCAAATTTACTTAATCAGAATATGCATTTTAGCAAGATTTCCCTCATTGTTCTGACGCACGTTGAAGTATGAGATGGTACATTTCTTGACTGGGAGTATTAGTATGTTCCTTCATATCATTTTTTTTCAAGAATGATTTTATTTTACTTTATTTATTTAATTGGACCAGAGAGGGACAAAGCGAGAGAGCGAGAGAGAGAAAGCAAGCTGCCAGGTCTGGGACTCTATGGTCAGCCCTGTGGGACTACAGTGCCTTTAACCACCATACCTAACCTGCCAGCCCCATTGATATAGTCTTAATATCTTTCAATATTCTGTGAGATTGTCAATTTAAAAAGTGTGCCTTTTTCACTATGTGACTAATACTGTGCTGGAGGAGACTTTAGAGAGCTGTTATCTCTTTAAAGAAACAAAAACTTAAGAAAAGCAATGCTGCACAGCATAAAAGATAAAATTAAATGTAAGCAAGTACCAGAAATAGTGATATGAGTATTCAAGAAGAATCAATGAACTGGTCATGAAAATTGATTGATTGAAGACTATTTGTAGGGAAGTGTAAGAAAGAGACCTACCTAAAAATGTGTTTTAGGAAGACAATAATGAAATACAGCTGTCATTTCCATTGCTATCCAGTTTGAAATGCCCCAACCTGAGAACTTATCATAGCATCTGGTGGAGTTTTAACAGAAACATCAGTGCAACTCCTGCAGAAGATTGCCATTTTGGGGACCAGCAGTTGGTGTAATGGCTATGTCGCTGGACTCTCATGTAGTCAGATCGCTGTTCAAGTCCCAGACCCGGTGGCTTAAATTCACGCTGGGCATGTGTGCGTGTGTGCCCAAGATCCC